TGCGTATTCATGTATATTGTTAGGATCCAGGCGAGTACATGTATCATGCATATGCACACGCTTTTTCATTAATGGCGATATTCATTTCCACAGAGAATGATTTGCAAATTTTGATTGTAGATTCGTGTGTTGTTTTTAAACTTGTCCAGTCGAGAAACACATCCTTCCCACTGGGCACCCTAGCTTCACTCTTGTATTACGGCCGTGTGCTAATAAACTTCACAAACCTCACAATTCCCTTAATATGCACACGTCACAGTGCCGTGTCTCGTGTTGAACGCACTAGACGACCCACTGTGTGTGGAGGAGAACATTAGGTATGACATCGTTGAGACAACGCAAGACTATACCCTGGTCACCACACGCAGTGGCTCGCACGTGGCTTATAGAGAGGGTATCCTGGGACAGACATGCTACATGCACAGGATCGCGCTGGATTTTCTGGAGAGTTCTAAACTTGAGCTGGAGCAAAACAGTCATCAGGATTGAGGGAACATGTACATGGATAGTACATATACATCAATTGTACTAGGAATGTGGGCGCAGATTTAGAATACCATCTCAATCGGAGCATCGGATCTATGCTTGTCCTGGTTACCCATGTGCAGTGGCTCGCACGTGGCGTATATATATATATATATAGAGAGAGAGAGATAGAGAGTCCTGGGGCAGAGATGCTACATGCACAGGATTGCGCTAGGTACCCTCGAGAATGCCGAGGCCTAGACGCTATCTTCTACTTTCTTTATTCCCCTTAAGGTTTGTGTCCAAGCTTAGGGTTCCCTTTCTTTCTATCAGTTGTAGTAAATTAGGAAATGGCATCTGCGTATTCAGAGATGGAATCAGAGACTGGATGTACATTCAAGCCGTTATTAGAATCAGGGTACCTCTAGCTACTTCACTCCATTTCCACGCGTGATAGCTGGCAATGGGCCGGAGGAATAGAGGCAACGTGCCAGTGATAATGTGTACAAGATTGCGCCGGGCCATGGTAGGTAATGCCATACTTTACCTGGACGACGACAGCCATCGGCCGTAGATTTGGAATTGGACCAACGGCACTACATAGTGCTAGTACGTACTGAATTAAAAATTAGATAAATGATGACAATGCGCAGGACTAGCTTACGCAACTATATTCGGGTCACCACACCTAGTCACCCGCGTATGATATAAAGAGACTGAGTTTCTGGCCATGTTATGATTGAACACAATTACTCTGTGGTTTGGAAATAATTTTAATCTAAGCAAGCAACAAGAACAACAATTGCGGCTGGGAATAAAGCTGGGATGAGAATTAGGAATGCGGCCAGGTCAGAATCAGGAAATTGTGACTAAGGTGGTAGTCGTAGTGTCCGCGACCACTCTGGTCACCAAGTGGGTTGGTGGTCGAGTTCTTTGAATCTCAATCAACACTC